CCATTTTCAAGTTATCAACATTGTCTAGATTCCTGTTAGGTGTGGATCCCAAGCAATAGATATATTTTCATAATTTTTTTCTGACTTCTTTAATTTCATTATAGCTAATTTAATTTCTAAAGTTCATCTTTCTGTTTTAAAAATATATTGCTTATTTTATTTAGAGGTCTGTTTTATCTTGTCATCTACTTGATTTCCTCATCATTTGGATGTTCTGTATCAACACTATTCTTTCTTTTTGTTTTGTAATTGACTGATATTGAGGTTTGCCTATATTTAGGCTGATAAGATTTGATTTAACCGTAAATACTTCTATTTGTGGATAGTGTTCTGGGTGGTGTTGTCATGTATGTTAATTTCAGGCTGTTGTTAGCTGTTGTTGGCTCTTCATCCAAAGAACAGCCTACAGTATTTTTTTTTTTTGGAAAGTTGGTCTGGTTATAACAAATTCCTTTAATTTGTTTATCTAGAAATGTCCTAATTTTGCTATTGTATTTGAGGGACCACAAGGTTTTATATGATTCTTGTTGTTAAGTGCCATTGAGTCAGTTCCAACTCACAGCAACCCTATATAGGGTTTCTGGGGATTGGCTGTTGAGTTTGAACCATTGACCTTGAGGATCAAACTGACATTGTGGTCTAGTGTTTATCCTACAGCACCACACCAGAATTCCATATGATGCTTGGATAGCATATTTTTTTTTTTTTTTCTTTCAGAGATGTATATGCCTTCTTGCCTGCATGGTTTCTGCTAAGAATTCAGAGAATAGTCTTATTTTTTTCTCCTTTGTAGGTAACTTCTTTTTTCCAGATCTGCTTTCAGGATTCTTTCCGTGTATTTTGTTTGTCTGATTATTGTTTTCTTTGGGGATCTATATTGTTTGGGATGTTTTAAGCTTTGTGTATGCTTATTTTCTGGTCTTTCGTGAAGTTAGGGAAGCTTTGTTCTAACAGTTCTTTGACATTTTCTTTGTGCTATTTTTTGTCTCTTCCTGTTCTGGAATTCTGACCACTCATAAATTATTCATGTTCAGGTGTCCCACATAACTCTTACTCTTAGATTGCCTTTGGATTTTTTTCTGATTATTCTTCTAGCATACTAGTATAGAGAGATTTAGCTTCAAGTTTACTAATTCTGGCTTCCATTACTTCAAATCTACTTTGCTCTTTCAATGTATTGTCCATTGCTGAGATCTTAGTATTAACCTTCTGGATTTCCAAATATAGGTTTTGTATTATTTCAAAATTTGCATTTATTTTTCTTTGTTTTCATGTAGTGTTTTCCTGAATTTTTCTAAGTTTTTTTTCTGTGTTCTCCTTGCTTTCCTCTGTCAGTTCTTTGAAGGTACCTAAATATCATTCTTTTGAATTATTTTTCAGTTAGTTCCATTAGTTTTTCTTCCTCAGAAACATTTTCTAACTCTACATCTTAGTCATTTGTTTGTGCCATTCTCTCTTTTCTTTTTGTGAGATAAAATTGTCTGTTGTCTCTGTGACATCACAGTGTTTTCATATTTGTATTTAATTGATAATTGTATGTTGATGTCTCCTGTGGGTGTAGTTACGGAATGGACGTGTAGGCACTGTTATCCATTCACCGCCTGTGCACCTGAGTTTAGGTTGGGTTTGGCTGGCGTTGGCTGTTGTCTAATGTTGATAAGGTAATATAGGAGTTGGTATTGACTCCTGCCCAGTGGGTGGAGCTACAGAGGGTATAGTTATGGCTAGGCTGTATGGGAATGGTTGCTCTCTCCTCTTGGGTGGGAAAGAGGAACCCCCCCCACTCCCCCCACACACACACACACCAAGCAACCAACAATGAAAAGAGAAAATATAATAGGAGAAATAACTAAAAGCAGGCAGCAACCAGAAAAAAACACACAAGAATAACGAAAAAGAGAAAAGAGGAACAAGAAAATTGAATCACAGGAGAGAGACAATAAAAGGAAGAAATAAGAAAAAACACTTAGGAAGACCAGAGAGAGGGAAGACCAAGAGACAAAGAGAATAGAGAGTAGTAAAGAAAGATCAAAATGGGAAAAAGAAGAGGGAAAATGCAAAACAGAAGAATGAAAAACAAAAGTAGAGATTGTTGTTATTGTTAAGTACTGACTCATAGCAACCATGTATAAGGTTTCTGAGGAGAGCTTGTAAGTTTGAACCACTGATCTTGCAGTTCAGTGCTTATCTTACACCAGGATAAAATTCAAGGGAATGGAAAGAGAAGAAGGAGAAAGAATAAACAAACAAAAACAATGAAACAACAAAAGGAAAAAACCAAACACAAAACCAAAAAGGAATAAAAGAAAACAAACAGTGCAGCTATTAGACCTAGAGAGGAAAAATCTCTGGGGGCTCCTGTAAGCCACAGAGTTTACAAGGTGACTCTGGGAAGGATGTGACAGTGGAGTTCCTGGCCATAGATGGAGTTTCTATTGGTCTTGGTGTTATCTATGTTCAGTGCATTCAATCCAGACATAGTTCTCAGAGACCTCTGATGGAGCTGCTTTTCAGCATCTCTTAGGACCACAGGGCAGCTGTGGGCACAGTGACTGGCTAAATGCTGGTCTGGTGGCAATGCAATGCAGTTTCTGTAGGTCTGAAGTCCAGCCTGCCTGAATCCAGGCATCAAAGTGGTGCACCAAACTGTTACAGCAGACCTCCTCCTCACACTGGTATGGATGGCTCCGAAGGGTCTGAGCTGGGGATGGATGAGGGTGGGAGCTGCCAATACCTGTGGTCACTAGGGGAGCTTGAGGAAAAATAAGGAATAGTAGGAGTCCTAGGGTGGCACTATGGGCTAATGCATCAGACTTCAAAGTTGTTTGAACTGCAAGGTTGGTGGTTCAAGCTCACCAGCTGCTCCTTGGAAAGCCTATACAGGGTCGCTATGAGTTGGAATCAACTCAACAGCACTTAACAACAACAACAATCTTTCCTGTTGCCATGTGAATCTGCTTTGCAAGGCTTCTGTTGCAAAATCTGTTCATAAAAGTTCAAGATTGTTGTACTGCGTCTGGCCAGCCATTCACCAGTTTCCCCCTCTTGCTATCTCTGCTCAGCTTTTCCTCCCAGCAAGCCCTCAATCCACTTCTCTAACCTTTCTTCTGAAGTTCAGGGTTCCAAGATTTTCACATGTGTCTGTTTCATTTGGTCTTTTGTATCTTTGTTATAGAGGATCTGTGTAGAGCATCTGTGAGTTGGCCATCTTGCCAGAGTCCTTAATTTTTTGTTGTTGTTGGGAAAATTAATTTCTTTTAAAAAATTCAACATACACATGAAAAAATACAAATAGAAGTATAAAACAATTAACTCCACCTATAATTTTACTCACCTTAATTAAGCACTGTTTATCAGTTCTTGGGTATCCATTCACAGGATTTTTTATCTAGAAGGAAACGTTTATTTCCACAAATGGATCTTACTAAATACACTTTGGACTCCTGGTGTGGTGCTGTAGGATCAACACTGGACTGCGAATAGCAAAGTTGGCAGTTCAAACTCACCAGTTGCTTCTCGGAAACAGTGTTGTTATTAGTCATAATGGACTCGATGGCACTTACCAACAAGAACAAATACATTATGCTTCATATTCTATTATTATCGTTGTTCTTTAATGATAAGGCTTTTACATACCAGTACAGAACTTACTTTAACATTAACATCCTTCAGTTCCCAACATGCTGGTTTGCTGGATCCAGCTCGAAAGTACCCCAAAACCAAACCCAGTGCCACTGAATGAGTCTTACTCATAGTGACCTTATATAGGGTTTCTGATGCTGTGTATCTTTACGGAAGTAGAAAGCCTCATCTTTCTCTTGCTTCTCCTTGCAGAAGCAGCTGGTGGGTTTGAATTGCCAACCTGGTACTTACCAGCCTAGAACTTATCCTACAGTGCCAGCAGGGCTTCCAGTTCCCAGTACAGGATCCAAAAAGTAGTGTTTAAGTGAGGAAATAGAAGCAAAGGAAAATAGGAAGAAATCAGAGAAGGAGGGAGAGTAATTAGAAAAAAAATAGGGAGAGATGGAAGAGAGGGAGGAGGAGGAGGGAGGCAGAGAAAAATTTGAAAGAAGGTTGTTATTGTTAAGTGCTACTGAGTGGTGTGGCGCTGTGGCTTAATGCGTCAGACTGCAAAGGCGTTTGAACTGCAAGGTCAGTGGTTCAAGCTCACCAGCTGCTCCTTGGAAACCCTATACGGGGTCGCTATGGGTTGGAATCGACTAGAAGGCACTTAAGAACAACAACTCATTGTTGATGTTAAGTGCCCTGTCGAGGCGGGTTCCGACTCATAACGACACCTCTATAGGGTTTCCATGGAGCGGCTGATGAACTTAACCCAGGTTCAAAGTGGACTTTTGCAGTCCAGTGTATTAATCAACAGCGCCACACCAGGACTCCGGTTGCACTCATAGCGACCCTAGGGTATCAGAGGAGTAGCTGGAGACTTTGAACTGTTGACCTTAAGGTTAGCAGTCCAGTGCTTTCTTATAGCGCTGCAGGACATTTTTGTTGTTGTTAAGTGCCGCTGAGTCGGTTCCGACCCATAGCCACCCTGTATAGGGTTTCCGAGGAGCAGCTGGTGAGCTTGAACAGCCGACTTTGGGGTTCAAACTGACATTGCAGTTCAGTGCCTTAACCCACAGCGCCCCCTGCTTGGACTCCGCTCTCAGCCTGAACTGTACCTGATCCACTGGCTGTAGTGCAACCTCCGGCCTCCAGGTGCCGCTAAGCGCAGCCGGTCGCACCCTGAAAGCCGTGGCTCTTTCTCCTGCTTTTGCACCGCTCTCGTTTACCGGCTGCAGCTCTCAGGTTCCTTCCGCGTCTTGCCGTGCGTTTTCTCCTGAGGATTTTCGCGCCGCTCGGCGCGTGCCGCCTCACTGCCTCGTGGAGCTGGGTCTCGCGGGCCCCGCGCCCGCCCTCCGCTCGCCTGGTCCGGACCGGAAGCGGCGCCGCACGGCCTGGGCCTGGCGCGGGGGGCGAGCACAGGGGCCCGGTCGGACATGGGCAAGAAGCATAAGAAGCACAAGTCGGACAAACACCTTTATGAAGGTGAGGAATGGGCTGGGGCGATGGGCCCGCGAGTACGCAGTGGGCTCTGGGGTTTTTGTTCTTTCGAAATTACCCTCGAGCGCCCGAAGTGAACCAGGGCCTCTCCTCACATGAGCAGACCAGATTTGCGAAGTGTGTGCGGTCAGTGACCGCGCAAACCTGTGGCGGGGGTGGGATTCGAAGTAGGGCTCACCGGCCCCGGCTGGGGTCTCTTGGGGAGTGTGGGACGACCCCGAGAAGCCCTGTAGCGTTCCGGGAGGGCCTCTCTAGCGGCACTTGGCAAGTGCCTCTTAATCAACAGGTGCTCACCCTAAGTCGTCCAGGCCTTTGCTCCACCTCCCCTCTCTGCTTCCTGGTTACTTTGCATTGTCGATATTGCTTGTGTGGTGTTGTTGTTAAGTGCCGTCGAGTCGGTTCCGACCCATAGCGACCCTGTACAGGGTTTCCGAGGGTGTAAATCTTTTCGGAAGTAGAAAGCCTGATCTTTCTCCCGCGGAGCAGCTGGTAGTTTCGAACCGCTGTCCTTAAGGTTCGCAGCCCGATTCGTAACCACTACGCTACTAGAGCTCTTTGGGTAGCCCTTTCTTTAATCGCGGCCCACTCTTTTTGTTTAAGAGTATGTAGAGAAACCCTTGAAGCTGGTCCTCAAAGTGGGAGGGAACGAAGTCACCGAACTCTCCACGGGCAGCTCGGGGCACGACTCCAGCCTCTTTGAAGACAAAAACGATCATGACAAACACAAGGACAGAAAGCGGAAAAAGAGAAAGAAAGGAGAAAAACAAGTTCCAGGGGAAGAAAAAGGGAGAAAACGGAGACGAGTAAAGGTAAAGTCTGTTGCATTACTTTAAGTCCCACTTAATAAATATTCCATCCTCCAGCTGTCAACCTTTTTTCTTTGTGTCGGGTGAGATGCTCAAACACCTGTAAACTCTGACTTGTTTTTGAGGAGTAGCAAGGCAAGGTAGAAGAGTAACTCATCTGTGAGTGTCAGCATATCTTTTATTATAACCTTGTACGTTTGTACTCACACACCAAGTGAGTAAGCAGACAAGTGCTGATTTTCAGGAGTTGCTTAAAAGAATGTTGTTTCCACTTAAGAGTAGATAGAGGGCTAACTCAGGAAAAACAGTGCTCCAGGTTTACCAAAAATAAAAATTTCAATAATGACTGTCATGTATTGAGTTCAAACTTTGTTCAGAAGTAAAATACTATAATGCCAAATATATGGTTAACAATGTTCATCTTTTAAAATAAGTTTTAGTTCACGGAAGAAAAAATTTGATAAGAGACCTTTTAGGGATATAACACCATTTTTTAAACAGTTTGCATAAAGTAGAAAAAAATATCTGCTATTTTGGTTCACGAACTGAGGCAGTATAACAAGTTTTCTCTCCAAGGATGCTCCTATACATACTTGCAATTATCCCAAGTTTAACCATTCACCAAGTGACTCTTATTAAATATCTTACAGTCTGTAGGGTAAGTAATGGGCTGCTAAGTGCAAGGTTGTTTGTTCAAACCCACTATCCTTGAAAACCCTATATAGGTAGGGTTGCTATGAATTGAAACTGACTTGATGGTGCTTAACAACCTGTAGACGATAGATTTTTCACCGTTAGTCTTATAATAATTTTTATGTATGTGTGTGTGTGTGTGTGTATATATATATATACGTATATATATACGTATATATATACACGGAGCTCTGGTAGCGTAGTGGTTACAAATTGGGCTGTGAACTGCAAGGTCAGCAGTTCGAAACTACCAGCTGTTCCGTGGGAGAAAGATGAGGCTTTCTGCTCCCGTAAAGATTTACAGCCTCGGAAACCCTGTACAGGGTCGCTATGAGTCGGAATCGACTCCACGGCACATAACAACAACAACAACAAATATATCTATATCTGTATCTATCTATCTATCTATCTATCTATCTATCTATCTATCTATCTATCTATATAACAGAAGTGAGTTCCATGTGGTTAAACACATTGATAAGTCACTGAGTCTTATGGATTCTTTCTTTAGAATTTCAGTTATTTTTCCCTTTCTTCCCTAGCATTTTTGCACTTGCTGGACTCTGACGACATATATTTCCTTTTCTAAATTATAAGAAATTATATATGCATATGATTTTTAAAAAACAAAAGTAATAGAGAAATGAAAAAAATGAAAAATAAAAAAATAAATTTTTTCTCACCCCATTCCTTCATATAGTCTTCCTGTTCAGATGTAACCATTTTTTGCTTCGTTTTTAATTTGTATTAGTAAAGTAATTCCAAAAACATTGCTTTAATTAAGGGAGCATTATAAGCAGCTTCCTACTTTATCCTGAAGTTCTACTACAAACTTTTAGCTTTTTCTTCTGATACTTACATCTCTATTCCTGAATATAGATTTATATTATTTGGTGGTGTGTCAATTTTGTCTTCCACTGACATTATATTACAGAAGATGATCATATAAATTAGTTTTCTTATACTGATAATCCCAATTTCCCATCCATTGTCCCACTGTAGATATATTACAATTGTTGTTGTTAGATGCCATTGAGTCCCTATTGACTCATAGCAACCCTATGCAAAACAGTACATGGTCCTGTGCCAACCTCACAATTGTTGCAACGTTTGAGTCTATTGCTGCTGCCACTGTATCAATCCACCTAGTTGGGAGTATTCCTCTTTTTCTTAGACCCTCCACTTTATCAAACATGATATCCTTCTCCAGGGACTTGTCTCTGTTGATATGTCCCAAGTATGAGAGACTAAGTCTGGCCATCCTGGCTTCCAAGGAGTATTCTGGCATCTTGCAGCTTTCAGTGTCCTTTTTTTATGGACTACTTGCTTTCTAGAACCTCTCTGAACTCTCCTTTGCCGACTTCCTGAGTCTCATGCCTTTAATTCCCTTTTTGTGTGGAATTTAAACTCTAGAAGCTTCCTAAGAAAGCATGCATCAGAAATAGATTTTTGTTAATTCTTAAATGTTCACAATCTTTCTTCTACCCTTGTATGTGATTGATAGTTGATTCAAAATGGAATTATATATTGAAAACTATTTTCACCCAGAATTTTAACATGTTCTGTTAGCTTTTGGCTTTGAGTTTTGCTGTTGAGAAGTCTGTTGCTCTTCTCATTCTCAGTCCTTTTTATGTGACCAGTACTTGCTCTTTTGAAATTTCTAGTGTCTTCAGTGTTCTAACATTTCACAATGAATGGATGTGTCTTCAACTTTTAGATGTTTGCTTGATAATATCTGTGACAATATCCTTCGCTCTTTCTTTCTGGAGCCTCTGTCATTTAGTTGTTAGACTCCTGGACTGATCTAATTTTCCCCCTTTGTTTTTGTGTTCTATCCTCAAAGAGAGTTCCTGAAATTTAGCTTCATAGTCTTTCAATTAATTTTATTTCAGATCTTGTATTTTTAATTTCCAGGAATTCTGTTTTTCTTTAATTATCTTTTTGAAATAGCATCCTGTTCTTGTTTTTGAATGCAGTTTTCTCTGAGGATATTACTTGAAGGGTTTTTGCTTTTTATTTATGTTTTGTTGGTTTCTTTTGCTCCCTGAATTTTCCCCAAAGTTCTTCTATTTATTTGCTTGGTCTCTCTTTTATGTTAGAAGTGTTCTTTAGTTTTCTTGATTCTTTGTGGTCTGTTTATATACAAACGTATGACACAAACAAGCGGTTTAAATATTTTGTTCCCAAACTTTACTGTAGGGCGACTAAATAGGCTCTTGATCATTTTGGTGGAAATGTTTGTACTTCACAGATACCTTCTCTGGGCTTTTCAGTGTCTCCAGAAAAAAATCTTTCCATCCTGGGAGAAGACTTTTACCTGGTGCTGTAGCATAAGCTCTGGACTGGTAACCACAAGGTCAGTAGTTCTTACCCACCCCTTAGAAAACCCTACGCAGGGTTACTGTGGGTTGGACTGACTCGAAGACACAACAACATCATCAGTATTTCTGTAGGATAAGTTCTGGATTGCTAAAGACAAGGTCAGTGGTTCAAACCCATCAACCAATCCTCAAGAAACCCTATACAGGGTTACTTTGAGCCAGAACTGGCAAGAAGGCACTTAACATCAACAACCAGTATTCATTCTAGTTTCTCTCTCCCCTTTTATTAGTCTTTGGGTCTGGATCCTGTCTAGTTCTTTATATCTTCATTTTCTCATCTTTTCCTGAGTTCTGAGTTAGTCTTCTTATAGGTAGGTATCCATCTTTTTAGGCAGAAGTATCTTGGGTTTTTTTGTTCTGCAAACTCCTCTCTCTGCCTTTCATCTCTTAAGTTTATTGATATCTTTTGTCTACTTTTTGCCTCTTTTGAGGAAATAGCTTTTGGCATTTTTATCTACTGTTATCTCTTTTATTCCAGCTGTTGTCTTGTTTAACTAGAAATTGAAGCAGTCATTTTTGGCACTATGAGGTTAACATTGGGCTGCTAACTGTAATAAGATCGGATGTTCAAACCCACCAAGCACTTTGTGGGAGACACATGAGTCATAGAAAGATTTACAGTCATGGACACCTTCTATAGGGTCGCTATGATGTAGCATCAACTCTGTAGCAGTGAGTTCAGTATGAGAGTTGTAGCTTTGGTGATTACCACCATAACACCAACTAATATGCTCATGTTCTTTGTTTTATCAGTTATGTCATTCTTTTTAATGCTTGCATAGCATCTAGTTATACAGATGTACTCTTGTTACTAATCTCTAAGAGTATATCCATATGTTGTGTTGGCCTCCAAATGTCATTTTATGTAATACTACATTTAAAAGAATTACAAATAATACTGCATCATGCTTCATTATGTACTAATGCAGCACTTCATCCTGGAGGTCTTGTGTTCTATCCCTTCTGTCCTTCTACCATGTTAATTATTAATAACCACCCTAACATTTTGGTGTCACTGAAAATTAAGATGCTTTTTCATCCTTAGTCTAATTTGGACACAAAACCCTGCCAAGTAGGTAGATGCTTTCCACTTTACCAAAGGTAAAAATAAAGCAGGTGAAATTAATTTTTCTAAATGTTTGCTCCTCTAGAACTCAGGGCGAGGGACCATAGAGTATTTCTGGATTCTTTGGGGATGTCATTGGTTCTGTAGAGACTGTTTTGTCTGTTTGAGTTTTCTAAGCAAGACCTGGGATAGAGAGAGGGAATTCTTTTTGCTGGTACTGCCTTTGAGAAGGAGACTTCAGAATGAGATGCTTCTCTGATCTGTCTTCTGTATCTGTAGGAACTTTTAGTAACAGCGGTTGCCTCTTGTCTCTTCTTAGGAGGAGTCAGCCATGTAACATCTGTTGGCTGGTGACATCTGTCTGGGCTATGTACGGTTCTGAAGGTTGGTGACTCTTACCTTTCAGTTCCATGAAGCGGGAAAGAAGAGGAGTATAAGAAACAGATATTCTTTGCCTTTAAAAACCTTTTCTACTAAGCATTCATAATTCCTGCATGTACTTCATTAGTCTGAACATAATTGCATGGTCACGCTAGATGCTGGGAAGGGTAGAAAATGGCCCTCTTTTAATTGGGGTCAGGAACATTATAAACCCTGCTAAAAATCAGGAATCTATTACTTAGGAAGATAAGAAGATAAAACTTTATGAGAAGTATGCAGCAGTTATCTGCCACACAGTTTAGCGGTTACCTATATGGTGCTTTATCCAGCTTCTCAAGGTGTGGAATGAGAAACACTTTTCCCTGGATCACCAGAACAATTTACTCATACCTCTGTTAGGATATATAAAGCCATGTAGTTTACTTATGCCTTTGTGTATGATTGCCCAGCTCTAAGCTCCTGTGGGGCAGGAACTACATTTA